GCTTGGATCAGCCGCCCACTCTGCTGGGTGCCTCGCCGGGCGGCAGCCCCGAGGACGGGCACCCCACGCGGCCTGCCAGGTGCAGTGGTGCTTTCCCTGACAGGCTTCTCTGTCCAAGAAGGAGGACCACGTGGGAGCCCAAAAGCCTTGCCCTCATAGGCTTTTCCAGGGCACAGTAAGACCAAGTGACCTCCCCTCCCAGCTGACTTCCTGAAATTTTCCCCAGCAAAGTCTCTTGGAACCCACGCCACGCACACAACCTGTTTCTGATTCACCGTGATCGTGAAGGGACCCAGTTCGCACAGTGACACAGGCCATCTACACCACAGACCCAGCACAGCCCCGGGGAAGGTGACATTCACTCCGACAACCTGGAATAACAGCAAGTCTCATCACCTCCCCCTCTCGCCTCCGTCACAACGTCGGCACCCCCCACCCCCGCCGTGTCCACCGCCCGCCAGGACCACTCACAAGTTGCGGTGCTTGCTCATTTTCAACCTCACTGGACATTTCAGATCACGCTTAACTCACCCAGAAAGGCTTTCATCAGAAATGCTTCAGGACAATCTGGGAGAAACAAATACTTTGTTCTGCAAGTTTATATAAATTAAGATGGAGACGTCATGAAAAGAAAGTCATCACAAGTCGCACAAATTTCTAACGGGCTTAATGGCCTCAGTACAAGGAAGCAAGGGTTAAAGAAAACACAGGCAATTACGAAAATACTAGGGGTCTGCTTCCTAAATAAACCATACTTCTCTGTTAAGAATCTGATGACAGGAACTCAGGCGTACAGCTCAGAAACGAGGACGTACTGCCATTCAGCTACAGGACACACGAATACCAGCAAGCCCGTCTCGTTCAGACCTGCGTGTAAAACTACGTCTCCCCAGGGATTCAGAGTATCTACCTTGCATAACGTGTACTCGTGTTTCCTATCTGGAACACCTGCTTCACAACCAAACTCATACTTAAAGGCATTTGGGGACTGAGTCCAAGGTTTCCGGTTTCAGCCTCTGCTGACACCCTGGGGGCACATCCTGTCCCAGAGGTTATCTCGAGGCCTGCTTCTTCATTCAGCACCTCACCTCTTCCCTGCTTCCCTGAAGCTCCGAGTTGACTGATCTCCACACTGCTGACGCAGAGCCACGCCTGCAGCTTGGCAGCTGCAAGACGGAAGCGTGCGGAAGCGTGCGGAAGCGTGCGGGGGCACACCCGCAGCGGGCAGTGCGCCGTCCCAGCCCGAGGGCCACGCCTGGTCCGGTCTACACGCTACTCCATTACTTCATTGTCAGTTTGTTTCCTGACTTAATCTTTTCCTGACGAGGCTTTGAAACACTGTGACTTGTTACTATTAGTAACAGTTATCCAAAAGCAGCACCCCCAGGGTCTTTCCTACCCGTGTAGACTGACTGTAATACTATATTCTACACAATGTAGCTCTTCTATAAAATACACGATCACACTTATAAACAAGCATTTAAATCCAAAAACATTTTACTACTCAAGAAGGCAACTATTATAAAAATTAGGGGGTGCTATGACTATATGCAACCACAAGAAGAGAGAATAAGTCTTTTTACTGTAATATTTTAATATAAATCAACACAACCATTAAAATATTAATAAACTGCCCCTTTCAAAATAAGAGCTATTCTCCCAGAGAGCTCTGAGGCTTCAACGTGCCAACTGCACCACGGCTGGCTCTACTTTGCTCCGTTATCTGAAAATGCCTTTATGGCAACTCAGACAAGAGCAGCAGCTCTAATGCACACAATGGCACGTGTCACCTGTCTGTCTGTCAGCGAGACATCTGATGAAGGCAAGTTTCTATTAGAAACTCAAATCAATACGCCCGAAGGGTTACAATAACTGCACGAAGCAATTTGTGTTATCATTTCATCCTGACGTTCTTGCTCTGAGCAACTTATTATTATGAATGGCGTGAAAATGGTAACCTGTCACAATTGATTTTTCTTAACCTCCTGTAAGAATGTTTTTTCACTCTTAAATGTAATCAAGTATCATCTTATTAAATATATCTCAAGCTCAGTTTTTTATAAAGCAGTCCATTACTCAAGTTACATTCCTTATAATTTAAACTTTCACCAAATATTATTATAAAAGTAACTGCTTAGTAATAAAAACTTTTGATTTGTTCAAAGTTTTAAAACAGAATTTTCAAATTTGAGTTGACCCCGCCACGCTGCCTCACCTGTCCCCAGGGAGACTGAGGGGAAGTCCTCTAACCTGGAAAGCAGCCTTCAGGATGTCTCTCTACTCAGAATGTTCCCCCATCTAACAATATTTTAGTGTTTAATCTTGGTCCCCATAGACATTCTAGGCACCGGATGGCCCTCAGAATGGGGTGTTAGGAACAGTGCTGCCTCCCTGAAGACATCCAGTGAAACTCAGGCAAATGATTCCAAACATCTTAAATATTTACTGTTGGTTCTTCGGTCCAGCAGCCCGCCAGTTTGGTAAGCTACAGCAGACAGACACTGCTGTCCCACAGACGGTGAGCCATCACTTGTCCTCCCTGCCGCTGAGGGCTGAGCTGTCACACACCTTCCAACCAACAGGTGCCAGACGTCCCCCAGATAAGCTGCGTCTGCAGCTTTTTGCCCACTGTAGCAAGCTTGTAACCTTCTCCTGGATTTTGTTCTTATACAGCTGGCATTTAACACTTAGAAAGATTTAATGATACGTGCAAACTTAGAGGTTTTATTTCTCTCCTTAGGTGCCCCCTGATGGACAAGAAGCCCTCCACATCGAGCTGGAGCACGCCTGAGAGGGAAGCAGGCCCACGCCGAGGGGCCCCAGCCCTGGTACGTGGGCTGCCAGCTCGAGCTCCAGGCGGCCCCGGCTCCGCTGAGGGCTGCTGCTCACGGCACAACGAACGCAGAGGTGTGAATTTCCATCAGGCCCACTGGGACAGCTCGCGCAACCGTGGAAGGCGAGCCAGAACGCTCTCCGGACAGCGAGCACGGGCAGTGCTGTCGGCGGCCCTGCAGACGGCCCGGGCTGCCAAGGGTCAGTGATGCTTCCCTAGTTTCTGAAGGGTTGACTATTTTTTTAAATAGTATTTAGCCCCCAAAATGGAATACATCTTGTCCTAAACAGCATCTTTTCAAAGAATTATTTCATTTCTATTGCTTTGGTATAAAATCTCCTGCAGAAGACAACTTTCCCCATTCATTATGCACAAAGCAAGGTGGGCCTCCGTGAGAGGATGTTCTGCTCGCTCAGGTACACTTAGACTGTGTTTCAAATAAAGCCGAGTGCGTGCTCAGTCAGAAAGAGAGTCTCATTCAGTGGACATCAGCATGCATCATGACGCGATCATACAAAATGTGCTATTCAAAAAATAACTACTGAGAATTCAAGCTAACTTTTTGTCTGATTTAACTTGCACACACGTTGACTGCATAAATAACAATCTAGGACCATAACAGGAGCATAATCAAGCAGTTTTTAAACCAAAATCTGGTTTCCAATATGCTTCTTCTGAAACAGAAATAACTTCAATAAAACTAGTTTAACAATATAATACTATCAAATTAAATACCACAAAACATTAATATAGATTCCTTTACTTTAAAAATGAACCATCAACGTAAAAATGAAGAGTGCAAATTGTAAAATAAATAGATTGAAGAGAAATTAAAGGACCCATAATTGACTGCTGAATTATGGACAAATTACATATACAACAATAAAAATTTAAGAGACATATAAAGCTCTGATTAACCAAGAAAAAATACTTTTGGAAATCCTTCAGTACCAGCATGCTATTACACAGAGAATTCACAGCCTAAACCAGCAGCGTTTCTGACACTCTGTGTTACACAGAAGCTGATGTGAACGAGCACTCAGAACCACACCCACTTTCTCACCGAAAGGAAGAGCAAGTCCATTAAAGCAGCCGATGCTCAGTCCAGCCTACCTTACTTTTTGGATTGGATGTGTTCATTACACTTCGGGTCTCTTTTCCAGTATAAATGACAACACCTATTACAGTACCTGCAAAACACAAAAGTGGGCCTTACACAGATACTTGAAGGGTAAGCACAGAGGTAACACTTTCTAACTAATGATTTTGACGGAAAGTATTATTACATCATTTAACTTTATATAAAATTATCCAACAGCACATTTAACTTGGATAGTTCAAGAAAATGTAATCTCAACTTAGAAAAAAAATTTGAAAAACTCAAATGACTTCTTAAGTGATGCTAATTTATCTACTTACAACATGAGACAATGTGCTAACATCCTTTTCAGTGATGACAGAAATCGCGACATTGTTTACTACTGTCTGTTGAAGTGGTAACTCTAACCCTGAAATCACATGACGAGATCTACACACTTGACTGATCAAACTCCTCCTCTAATCTCAAGCCAAGAGGTGCCAGGTGCGCCATCTCCTCTGCACAAGTCTGAGACGCCCTTCCCCTGTGCGGAGTCAGCACGATCAGGTGCCAGAGCCTGCGCTGACACCTCAGCACACGTGCAATTCACACACACGAGAAATACTGTAAGAACAATATTTAATTTTGAATTTAGTAAGTTTCTTTTATTCATGTCTCCTGAAAGCATGGTCTTCTTCTAACTGTACACGTCAAGAAGAAATGATCATTTTGTGGTCTATCGAGTGTCAGAGAAAAGAACAGGAAAACACCCTCCAGTGACCTGCAGGCAGCAGAGGCCCAGCCCGGAGCCGCTCGCCCTCGGGCGTCAGCTGTCACACTGGGGCTCTGTCTGCAGCTGCTCCTCTGCGGAACTGCTCTCCCCAATTTTTGCAATTACAATTACGAATTTCGCAATACAATTATGACAAGGAAGATAACGTATCTACAGTATTCACTGAAATCAACCACTGCAGAATTAACTCTAGTGACTGTACAAAAACTCTGCTGTCGCACTGACTTAACGTGTGGGACTGAGTGAGGCCTAAGTCAGGATCCGTGGAGCAAGTGCAACGTCAGTGATCACTGGGGCTGCGCGACAACGAGGCCGCGCACTGCACACCCCACCACACCACGCCCAGGAGACAGAAGATGCCGAGCAGTGCTCAGCACTGACCCCTGCAGGGTCACACGTCTGCCTTGCCCAGAACAAGCACTTCCTTTCCCCCGTCCTAGTGTGTCCCAGGGAAAGCTGTGAGGCTCGCGTTCACCGCGCTCCTGAAAGCAGGCCAAGCCCCAGTCGGCACCAAAGCCGACTCGAAGGCGCGAACGCCACCTTCACGTACCGTCCAAGCCCACTGCCCAGACGGCGCGTGGGCTCAGCACACAGACCACCGCTCCATGCGTGACAGCGCTGTGCAAAGCAAAGCGTCTGGAGAAACGCTGGTCTGGAGTCACTGGAAACACAAAGCATCACCTGCACGAGAGAGCTCATGCCAGGAATCGAGCTCACTTCTTACCCGAGGCGACGACCGTGCCTGCCCACAGGGTATTTTCTATGCTGAGACTCTCATGAATGGGGGGATCACTATCTTCCTGTTTAGGGAGAGAAATGGAAAAAAAAACGCAAATTAGCAACTTTTTAGTTACTCATACCTCAGATACCTACAGTGTGAAAAACAAGTCCACAAGCTGGATCCAACTGACGAGCAGCGAAAAGGCGACACGGGGCAAAGACAGGGGTGTGGACAGAGGGCTCTGGGGCGATGGCAGAGTAGGCAGCCCCCGGGACGGCTCCTCGCCCGGGCAGGATCTGTGCTGTAACTAACTCTGGGGCCGCCTGCAGGCTTGCAGTTCTAGGGGAAGAACAGTCGACTTTGGTCCATGTCGGGTCTGAGCACAGGGACACCTACCCGCCAACCCCAGCCGCACAGCAGGAGGCTGTGCATGTGGGTCTGGAGCAGCCTGCAGGAACCAGGGGGCAGAAAGGACCCTGTCCTCCAAACATCAGGGGTCTGTGCTCTGACGCTCATTGTGGCTTCTGACCACAGAGATGCAGCCAAAGGGGCAGGTGCCCACCGCTGCTACACCTCCCCCACCACTCCTGACCCCTCCCCAACAAGCGGAAGTGCCTTTCTATACCTTCTTCCCCCCTTTTCCCCGTCATGACCAGACATTAAAGACTGTGACACTCAAAAATAACGGCATACGTGTGCAAAAATAGAAAATGACCACACACGCCCAAGGAACGGCTCAGAAAAGATACAAGACATTAAGTTTACACCTCAGGATGATCCTCAACACAGACAGAGCTTACAACAGCCAAAAAACAATAAAGAAAAACAATGACAGAAACCCATCAAACGCTGGTTTTAACTTCTAGAGCCACATTATTATATTCAAAAGTACTGTGTTCAACAAAAAAATAAGGCACTAAAAACAGAAAGTACAATCCTTCAAGGGAAAAATATAAACCAACAGAAACTACCCCCGAAAAACACCTGATGAAACTGACAGACTTTAAAAGAAAAATGTTAAAGATGTTCAAAGACATAAAGATGTGTTGCAAGTAAATAAAATGATGCATGAACAGAATGGAAATGTGAATGAAGAGACAGAAAACCTGAACAGAAACCAAAAGGAATTTAAGAGCTGAAGAGTACAATGACCGAAATGAAAAATTCACAAAAGGGATTCAAGGCAGTTTTGAGCAGGCAGAAGTTACTGAACTTGAAGGCAGGACGTTACTATGGAAGTTACTAAGTCTGAGAAATAGGAAGAACGGAAAAGGAAGGAAGGAAGGAAGGGAGAAAGGAAGAAAGGAAGGAAGGAAGGAAAGAAGGAAGGAAGAAAGGGAAAGAAAGAAAACTGAAAGGACCTAAGGGATCCACAGGACAGCACAAACCAAACCAATATACGCATTGTGAAGATCTCAGAAGAAAGGAAAGAAAGGGGGCAGAGACAATATTTGAAAAAATAATGGCTGAAAAGTCCCCAAAGTTAATGAAAGACATGAATGTAAACATCCAAGAAGCTCAGTCACATCCAAGTAAAATGAGCTGAGAGACCCACACCGAGACACATTACAAGTACTTTCAAAGTCAAGAACAAAGAAAGAATCTTGAAAGCAGCAAGAAAGAAACAAATCGTCACGTGCAAGGATCCTCAATAAAACCGTCAGCAGATTCTCACCAGAGACTCTGAGGCCAGAAGACAGTGCACCAGCACAGCCAAGGGCTAAAAGAAAAAGAACTTACCAACCAAGAACCCTGTACCCAGAAAAACCGTCCTTCAAAGGTAAGGGAGAAATCAGGACGTTCCCAGATGAACACAAGTTGAGAGCTGGGGACCACGGGAGCGTCCCTGCAGGAAGTGCTCAGGGGGTCCCACAGGTCGAGATAAAAGGCTACTGGACTGTCCCCAGAGCCACGTGGAGAAACAAAGATCTCAATGAAGATAAATCACCATAAACAAATTCCCTCCTCACTTCCTTCTATGTATATTCTATAGCTGTTTCCTTTCTGGTTACCATGGGGTGCAATTTCTTAAAACACAATGGATTTCAAGACTGGTGTTTCTTTCAACTGTGCCTTCACTGTACCATCTGTAAATAGGAGAATTCACCCAATTAATTCAAGCATGCATTTGGTATCTAAATACACACCAAGCCCTGTGTTAGAAGCTGTAGCTCTGAGAAGAATTAAGACAGCCTTTCAGCTAAGCAGTTCCTGGCTCAGTGTGGGAGTGAAGATGCACGCAGAAATGATGGATGTAAAGGCAGGCAGCAGTGCAACGGTGCCCAAGAAAAGGGCACACCAGCAAGCCTTGTAAATGACAGCACGTAAAGTGGGTCTGAAATGCAGGAGCCGCACGGGTGGCCCCTGAATAAAGGTTCTGTCTGCTCCCCACGCTGACACCAGCACGTGGCCCATCTCTGCCCATGGAGACAGACGCACACTGTCTTCACTTTAAATTCCCTTAGGAGTTACTTCTTCCAGTTACAGTTTGTCAAGTAAAATATGTTTTACTTTGCTGCATTCAGGAGTCTTAGCTTAAAAAAATCTAATGATAATTATATAGCTGCATTAATATACAAAACACTGAGGAAATACATACTGTAAGTGGGGAAAACAAGGCTTATATTATCCCAAAGCAAGTATGTATGTAGATGGGAAACAACTTGAAGACGAAAAGCCAAGAGACTGTACCACCGCTTACATTTTGGATGAGAGGCTGTACAATTCGCAGTCCCTTTAACCATTTTCATCGTACGTATTTTCAAATTTCCAAATGCAGGCGACATCAATCAAGCTCTCGCACCGCGGCCCCGTGCCACCGCCGGACTTTGCGGTGCGCCAGCTCACTCCAGCCTCGCCTTGGGCTCCCTGTGCTCACAGCCAAAGTAGCTGCTCAAGGGCAAGGCACAGAGCTGCCCGACTCAGAACCAGACAGTCCAGGAAAACTGAGTATTCCCTTTGCCTTTAATGGTTTTACAGGACAAAGCATCAACTTTTAGAAGAGAGAAGTTGGTGATCTCTCTGCATTAACTATTTTGTACTTGAATTTACGACTGAAATGAAATGATCAATTTCCGACTCATCACAGAGATGGTCTTAGAACCTACTTTGGATAAGCACTGCTGGAGAGAGAAGGCTAAAACACCCTCATGCTTAGCTCCTAAATAGAGTTCAAACGGCACATGCTGTAACTGTACGTTAATGCAGGAGTTTTAGCCGCGACCCAGCAAACTGAGTGCATAACTGGGATAAGTCCCGCCAACTGCTGGGTTTGTCGTTTAAGGCACAAAACAAACAAAATCCTTCCCTAATATGAATTCTGAATTACTCTCACTGCATCACAGCCCTTCCTGTCTTCAGCTGTCCCTGCAGACTGTGGGCTGTCTGACCATGGCACTGACCCTGACCTGAGCACCTGGCACAGCACAGGCACTGCATCTGTCCAGGAAGAGAACACACATGAGAACAGCAGAGAGGGGCCCACTCCTCCGCGTCTAACGCCCCTGCGAGGGACCAAGCACGGAGGCAGCGGCCTGCTAGTGCTCCGGGTGCCCTTCCTTCAGGAGCTCCTTTGGGCCACCCTGCCTGCAGCGCCAGTGATCACCTGACCACAGAGTGCAAACGAGCATCATTCCACTAGTTTATTTTTTTTCTTAACTTTGTACTAAAGTACAGTTGACTCACAATGTCATGTTAGTTTCTGGTGTACAGCAAAGTGATTTAGTTGTATATATACATACATTTTATATATACATTCACATATATATACACATACATATATATTCCTTTCCATGTTCTTTTCCACTATGGTTTATCACAGGATCCTGAATATAGCTCCCTGCTCTACACAGTAGGTCCTTGTTGTTTACCTACTTTATGGACAGTAGTTTGTACCTGCTAATCCCAAACTCCTAGTCTACCCCTCCCCCATTCCCTTTCCCCTTTGGTAACCACATGTCTGGAGCGTTTTTCTGATCCATAAGTAAGTTCATTTGCATCATATTTTAGATCCTACATATAAGCGGAATCATACAAGGTGATTTTCCTAGTTTTAAACCGTCCCTACAGTTCCCTTAAAATGGAAATTTAAAAATTAACACTTGCATGTCTTTTAGTTTATTGTTTCCCCATTGTGTCGAACTCTAGGAGGAATAATGGCATTAAAGAACGTGAATTTTTTTACGGCTTTCTGAACTACAAGTAAGAGATTCTGTAGTTTAGTCTCAGAAACCTAAGCTGGTTCTGCCGCTACTTTTATAGAACCATTTCGCCACATGACTGCATTCTGTAATTCTAGCACAATTACTTGTTGAAGAATACACAGGATCTATGCAGCTCCCTTCTCATTCTGTGATAACAATAATGGACTTCAAACACTAAACATTTTTCTAATATTGAGAAAATTATTGTAAAAGTTCTTTACCAATCTCATATAGTACAGAATAAAGACTGGGAAGATGGGAAATTACCTCTAAATACCTTTCTCTCTGCACTTCTTTCTCTTTAATGTTATGAGTTTGAAAAGATAAAATTTGCTTTGAGGAGGGAGAATGCAAGATGTTGCCATTTCAAGCTGCTTTCTCAGTAGTGAACCCTCGTCAACAAACAACAGGGATACGTTTTAGAAAGGGGAGCATTTTGACTGGAAAAGACATGAACAATGATAAGTGTGCTATGGTTTACAGAAGAAATTACAGTACAAAATGCATCATAAAAAGATTAAATGGGAATATGATGTTAAATGACCACGAATACTGCCAATATTTCAGAAGTGGCTATAGTTATAAACTCCAAGCTTTAGAGAGAATAGCTCTGTCTTGAAGAATAAGCAAAATTAATGATATCAAGAATAATAATGCGAATCATGTAACACAAAATGTCATACAGTCAACAATTTAGGTAGCCATGACATTGTTTTAAGGTAAGTAGGAGCAGATATTAATCACAATGTGCTTGTGCATTCAATTCTGCATGGACAATAAAATAAACAGTACACTTACTGCCACAGGACATCTGAATTAATTTGCTCTGATTCTTATTTAATTACATACGCTGAATCAAAAGAAACATTTGTTTTCTCCTCTGCATATCACAGTACAAAAAAGGAATATAAGCAAGTATCACTTTATTAAATGTTCAGTTGATATTTTGGTAATTAAACCACATTCTATTTTCCAGTTACAAAACTAGTTATTTAGCATGGTTTTTTCTTTCCTCCTTTTTGAAAAAGGTACAGAAAACAAAGATTTTCCATCTGAAATAATCTAGAACTCAAGACTGATATAAAATGAGTGAAACAAAACTGTGTTAGGAATATCAAATGAAGGCAATGAATTATTAAGAACTTGCAGTAATTCATACAAGGCGAATGTGTCTGACGTGAACTAAGAAGCCCTGATGAAGTCAGGACCCCCACGAACCCCTTTCTCCTCTGCTGTCCCGTCTCTAGAGCGGACTGCCCATCTGGAGACGTCCCTGCCCGCACTGAACGCAAGTCTGCAGTATCTCCCTTCTCACCCGTGCTGCCTGCACAAGCCACAGGTGACCCCGGCTGCCACCGCCGTTGGCCTGTGCACTCTGGGGAGGCCGTAAGGACGTAAATTCAGGTGGCTGCCACTATTCCACGGGGACCAGGGATCCAGGGGAATCTTTCACAAACACCAGTATCATCATTTCTCTCCTAGGCTGAAAATCTGTAAATGGCTTCTTCCTTCTTTTGAAAAGACCTCCAGTATCGAGTCCAGCCGTCCGTCCCGTCCTCCCTCCCCACCTCTGCACACTCGCTCACACACCCGTCACACAGCCGGCCAGCCACACAAAGTCACACACACCTGGTCTCACACCCAGTCAGACAGCCACACAGTCACGCGCGCAGCCACACACCCTCCATGTCACTGTGCTCTACAGGCTGGGTGTTTCCAGCCCCACTTCTCGTTTGCTCTCACCCTCTGACACCCTGTCCAGCAGACATTTCCAAAACTTTTAGCAAATAACAGGCAATATAAATCTGGGGAACAGAAAGGAAGAAGCAAATAGAATTCCAAAGTACTAACAGCGGTTAGTAACTCTGAATTTACTGTACTAAGGGTGCTCCCCCTTTTGTAAGACTTTTTCTCTCATATGCACTTTGTTTTTCAAAAATACTTTTGCAAAGCACAAAAAGATCTGAGTATTCCAGAGCCCATTACAAGGCACTTACCGCCAGGACCCCGCCCTCCCGCAGGCTCCCGCGGCCGTCCTGCGCATACACCATCACTGCGGCCCCTGTGGGAATGCTTACAGAGCAGTGCCCGCGCCCTCAGCCCGCGCCCTGCAGCCTGCATGTCACCTGGCACACAGCGTGCCCCTGGTGAAGTTCTCGCAAGCGGTGACAGCTGCTCACCAAGCCTTATATGAGACCAGGAGGGAGACAAAGCTGACTGGACCACCGGAAATCTTTTTAAAATAAATGCAGCAATTAAAAATAAACTATACCATGTATTAAACCCCCTTAAGTATTATAAGTCACTTATACTATCAGCATAGGCTGTGAAAATCGAAAGTTACTGAGTGCTCCAAATCCTATGAAATACTCAGGGGTGGGGGGACTTCAAGCTGCAGCCAAACACCCTAACAGTGAGAAGAACACAGAAGGAAACGGACTTGTGGTACAAGGAAACAGACACGCACACACACGTACGTCCACCCAACCAGGTGACACAAACCAGGACACGACGTGGATGCTCGAGTGCACCAGGTATCACCAAAACCAAAACCACCGAATTACTTCATCTTACCACCCATAATAGTGTAACAAGAGCAAAGGTGCTAAAAAATAGGAAAACTGTACTGAACGTAGCCCAGAGAGATATTTGGTATTGGAAAATTTAAGAACTTGACACATTCTCTAGGTTTTCACTTTTTAGTTCAAAACTTGTTTAAGCGGATTCTTGATTTAATTACTCTTTCAAAATAAAGATTTATTACTTTTAACTTAACACACACAACGCATATGGTTATGTTAACAAAAGATGAGACTCACCCTGGTGAACGTGCCTTCAAAACTATGAATATCCAGTTGCGGCTTCTGAGCATAAACGTAAGCACTGATAGAAAAAAGGTCCTGGAACACAGAATACCCAAATTAGTCACATCATAACCAAAAAGCATCCCTTGGAAATGTCCCAGTTACCAACTAGTATTTTTCATATATTACTTATCAAAAGTAATAGCTGAGTTTCTTATAGTTTGTGCCCAACACTATGACAATTTTTAAGCTCAACAGAAGTGCAGGGACTTTTGATTCCAGTGGACAACCGCCACCCCGTAACAGGCTGTGTCAAAAGCAACTGGGAGATGCATATAAAATACACAGCACTTGGGCTGCCCCATGATTATAAGGACATTTTTCATTTAACATAACTTCTATTGTTTTAATAAAATTATATAGAGTTTTAAAAACTCAACTTGCTGGACCAGCAAACATACTCTCATAATTGAAATAAGGCACTTAAGAACTCATCTCTGGAGACCTACTGTTTAAACTGTTACATGTTGCCAATGAATGAAGTAACCGAAAGGGTAACTTTCCTGCTTCAAAATTAATTCTATGAAAGCAGCCGTGATGTGTGAACAGTCGAGTCCTCCCATGCAAGGATACAAACACAGGTTACGGGGACACGGCTCGGGTGCGTGGGAGGAAGACACCGTCCTCCTGGCCTTAAGGAGCGCAGATCACTAGTTTACAGCAAAGGCAGTAGCTGCCGAAATAAAAACATACACACCAGATCTAGGGACTTACTCAACGGCTTCACAAAACGTATGTGGAGTTGTGACGGTTACTCAGACCCCGCTGCATACTTCTAAATATGGCTGACCCTGGAACAACGCAGGCTGAGTGCTGATCCATTTCTACAGGGGTTTTTTCCAGAAGTAAACACCACGCGTACAAAGGAGGGCCAAGCCTAAGTTACATGTGCCCCAGCCCTTCACTGCTCAAGGGAAGGGTTCACTGTACTCGCTCCCAGCCTCCACTGTCAGAGCTGGAAGAGTGGGGCAGCCCCGATGCGCCCTGGTGGACACACTCCGCACGTGTTCCTGCCCGTTGCTGGGGGAATTCAACGTGTCCTGTGTGAGTCCTTCAGGAGGAAAGTCTGGCCGCTCGGTCTGGTTTCCTGAGACTTCACCCCACGCACCTGCTCTCTCTGCTGACTGCGCTCTGCACCCTTCCACTGGAGTAAGTCGCGGCTGAGAGCAGGGCTGCATGCCGAGTCCTGGGAGCCCCCTTGAGGCCCATCAAAAGTGGGTGTGGTCCTGAGGACCCTGATACAGAGAGTTTGCCATTTTTATACATTTTGTTTTGGTTATTCATTTTGTTTTGGCTCTGTCTCAACGCTGCTAACTCAGAAAACCAGACTTCCAGACTTTAAAAACAGAGGCCAGAGATTAGGGCGACCACAGCAGCCGAAGAGTGAGCGGGGAGAGGGACCCAGCAAGGAGAGCCTCCGGAGGGGCCCGAGGCTCTGTGCCCCCTCTCTTTCTGAGCCCCGGACATCCTGCGCACAGGCAGCGGTCACGCAGTCAAGCTGAGCTGGAAGAAACGAACAAGACCTGCACCGCTCCCCACTGCAGGGGAGACGGCGCCAGGCATTTGACTTCAGCCAGGTTAACTACAGTGAAAACAAAACCAGGCAGAAACCAATGCTCTTCAGAAGAACATCATAAAATCCAGAGTCTCTACAATTATCAATGATGTTGAGGATACAGTCCACACTTCCAGACACATGAGGAAACAAGAACACAAGACCCATATTCACGTAGAAGATGAATTCTTACAACAGACAGAGCTGCGCTGCTGTTCCATGGATCCTCCCGGGGGAAGGCAGGGTGGCTGCAGGCTCCCGGGCTGCCCCCAGAGGCCCCCTCGCCAGCGCCTCTCCACCCGGGGGCCCTGACTGCTGGGCAGTATGTCCAGCTCCAGCACTTACAGAAAACAGTCTCAACAGGAAACAGGCCACAGGCTAACCATGACACGGCCTCCCTCACTCCTGGAAGACACGTCTGCTGTTCTGAGTTTACATTTCATTTATTCCCTGCTTTAAATCTTGGTAGGGAACACACAAGTCTTCAAGCTGCTTCAAGTCCCTTGAAGAGCAAGTGGGAAAGAACTGACTCTTACAGCAACAGCTCTAAACGGAGCACAGCGCTGACGGCCGTAAAATCCTCAGGAGGACCGACTGAAGAGCCTTAGAGCCTGCCACCCGCTGCGAAGTGCAGGACGGTCAGAGGGACTCGGAGGGAAACCCAGCGCAGAAACGGCATGACACGCTCCCCTCCACCACCTCTTAAAAACAGAACTGCCTGGCTGGAGAGGGGCACGCAGCCCCTAAGGAACACCACCCTCCGCCCTCCGCACAGCCAGCCCTCCCCACGCAGCTCGCTTTAGGGGGGAGTAGGACAGGGCCATGGCCCCCATGCTGGCAAGGGTTCGGCAGCATTGAAGGTCACCTGGGGACAAGGACAGAGCTGCCCCCTCGGCGTGGACCACCCACCTCTGCACTGTTAGGTGAGGGAGCAGAGCTTCTCTCCTGATTGGGAGGTGTCCGCACGGAGTCAGAAACCACTCGAGAGCTCAGAGCAGAAAGAGACTTACATGGAGTGAGACGCTCCCAAATCACAGGGAGCAGGGGCTCGTGAGAGAGCCTCCAAGAGTCACTCTAGGAACGACCCTCCATGGAAAACACCGCCGCAGCTTTTAAGTTCAAGGCATGGCGGGACCCTGTGACTCCAGGGCGTGAGGCAGGCCGCCGTCTCCCCAGCGACTGCCACCAAGTGCCTGAAGTCGAAGACGGCACCTGCCAGCGGGGACCCTCCAGCCGGGACATGCCAGCCAGGCAGACAGATGACTCACGCTCATTTTCATGCCTTGAAAATTCCTGGGGAGCTCAGTAAACTTGGGAACGCTCATTCACACACCTCCAGGTGGGCCTGGAAGATGCACGCAGATTCGTCTCCAGGATTCTGAAGAGCAGACGCTGCACCGGACTAAGGGTGAACACACCGGCTCACCACAGCAGGTCTGCTACTGCAGCTCAGATGACACGCTAACTGACAACAATTTATTTTCAAGTTAATTAAGTCAAGCTAGTTTACACAAGAGGAAATACAACGTATAATAATTTCAGGCTGATGGAAAGACTAGCATGTTTAATAAGCAGCCAGCCGACCCCTGGGGTAAGGAAACGCTGAGGCTCACTCATCAGCCACGCACCACACAGTCACAGGAATTTTCAAACAGCGAAGTTCTCGTACAACAGATCGCCCTTCAATGCGTGGACGTAAAGGGCCGTCTGAGCAGCCCCCACACCTCCACGCGCACATGCACATTCAGAGGGATGCATCTCATCCGGCACATTAGACATCAAACGGCTGAATAACGGCACAATAATGAGAATGTCATTCGAAGCTTTTCATGATAATTTAAAAATCATTCCCAAGTTTTCAATAATGTAGGAAAGCCTCTGCTATTAGGTCAAGGGCAACATTTGTTCGCATTACTTAAAGGTCATTAAAATACATCCTTAATCATAACATGTGGCTCATTACAAATAAAACTGCCTCTCGTTCAATAAAACTAATTAAATGTAAATGGTATTGTTTACTGCTATATGGATCTTTTGAAATAAATCAGCAAGTCATGATTTATTGAGAACTACTGTGACCTCCTTGTTGTTAACAAATCTGCCTAATCACAAAAGCCAGAAACACACGTCCCGAACGTCTCCAGTGCCGGAAGTGCGCGCCCTCCAGTCGCCTGTGCAGCAGCAGGAAGCCCGGCCTGTGCCACTGACCCACCGCTCGGCGCCCGCTGCGTGGCTGCCTGAGGCCCAGGGCTCCGCTCACGTGAGGTGCCCTGGAACCCAGCAGAGCTGGGGAGGTTGTGCTTGGCGGCGTCCCCGACTCATTGAGAAAAGCTCTAGGACTGCAGGTTTACTTATTTACTCTTAGTGTCACGGCGGACACAATGCTCCACTGATGAAGCGACAAACAGCGAATGACACCCAATATTCCCCAAATCCACTGCACGAGACACAGAAAGTCAAGGTGAGCGACAGTTACGGGCAGTGTGAGCTTTTAAATGAAAAAACCAAACTGCCTTGCTTAAACCCATAATGAAATTAGGGCTTTCTTCTCTATGAAAAAAAACCAATACCTAATATGACAAATTATTCCTTAAGACATAATTTATATGCAATAAATCACGCATGTTTAAATTGTACTATTGTCTGCATTTTAATACAAGTCATGCCTATGACATCACCACGATCAAGGTGGGGACAGTTCTACCCGCCCTCTGCAGGCCCCTCCCCACACTTCTATGAAAAACCTACAGCTGTCATCACACAGAATTTTAAATGGCTGAATGTTCCCCAAGATTGAAAACAAGGACAAGAAAGGCTTCAGCACTTCCATCCAACACTGCGCTAGGGATCTCAGCCGGCGTCATACCACAAGAGAAGGAGAGAGAAGGCTGCGTACACAGACTGGAATAAAAGAGGCAGACGGTCTTCTGCACGTGACGTGATCATGCAGTGAGAACATGCTAAGAAATCACGTAAGCGACACTAAGAAGACACGAACAGGCTTTCACCTGAAAGGACACACAGATGGAAAACAAGCACGTAACATGGTATCCAGCACCATCAGCCGCCTCAGAAGCACAGACTACAACGAGCGACCACTGCACTTATCCAAGCGACTGAACTGGAAGAGCGACACCACCAAGCACTGGCGCACCCGCACGCCACTGGCGCAAACAGTCAACGGTCCAGTCCCTCTGGACAGCAGCCCGGCGGCTTCTGCACGCCCACTTCCCCCACACCCCCGGGCGGGTAGATGCCGCACCCCTGACCCGCAGCTCAGCGATTTCCCAGCGGCCCGTTGTTCCGGCCCGCTGCAGAGCGGTCAAAGCCAGCTGGTCAGCGGAAAATAACCAGCACCAACTTCAGCTCCTCTACTCCCTTCATCACCGGCCCAGCAGAAAATGCCTTGCCCCATTCGCCACCACCAACAAAAAGCTGCATTAACTCAGAACATACAAACTATACAAATACCCTGCAGACTGTAAATAAACCGTCACAGAGCACTGAGAATTTACAGCTCACAGGGCACCTGACCAGTGTGCTGCCTGGCTCTGACTGAGAAACTCTGATCCCGAAGAGCGTCTTGGACAGTTTTCAGAAACCACTCTGCCCTGGGGACTGACAGAGACCACAAGACGTATGGAGGCAGAACCGGAGACATGGAAGTGTCTGTGCCCAAGAGGGGTGCACATCTGCAGATATATACCTGCTTTTATCAGTCTGTCACTATGCACATACCTGAGCACTGATATAGCTTTAAATGGGCAAACACCAACACAGAAACGGACCCAGGAGAGGGGCAGACCACCAAGTAGGAGGTACACCCCTCACCGAGATGTGGTGGAAGCTTTCAACAGTACTAGGAACCAAAGGAATACAATTAAAACATAAACGGTCCCAAATTTTCTCTATCAAGCTGAGATTTCTCTCTTCAAGACCTGTTTCAAGTGTTCTGAAACATACTTACCTAATAATCATACATTAATGGCTATAAGATGTTTTGGCACAACTCTTCTATGATAATTTTTAAATATCAGAAACCTGAAATCGTGAATATTCTTTTACTCCCCAATTCTACTTTCAAGAACTGACATTAAGGAAGAAAACTTGCTATTTGCATGCCTTCTCTTAATGTTGATATATTTTAAAAAACAAAAACTAGGAGCTGCCTGCTGGTCCCCACCCATGACAGAGGAGCGTGGGGGCTGGCTGATCAGCTGAGAAGAACGATTCTCCAGCTCAGGGTTAGAAACAGGACCTGGGAATCAAATCCAGCAACCTGCACCCTGTTCTGTGCAGTCCCTGGAGGAAGAAGTGATCTTCTTTTCTCTAATCTTTAAAGGGTTGCAAAAACAAAAAAAAAAGAGGAGGAGCAGAAGACGACAGTGACTCCAGCAGACACACTTGGTGAACCACATTACGATGTGACGATGAATAAACGGACAAAGAAAGACTGCGCACACTCTCATTAGTGACCAGAAGGTTTTGGAAAAGATACAGGACACACATAAAGGAATGAATTTCAACCTGGGGGCTATCTAAAGGCTAGGCAACTGAAAAAACCTTGAGTCAAAAGTATTGCCAAGTCTTACGCACGTCAAACATACTTAGTTTCCAAAAAGTCCAGTCCCTACAAGCACGAGGGAGGCTCCTGCTGGCACAGCAACTCACTGTGTGCAAGACGAGCAGCCACTCCTCTCCGAACCCGACCAACCCAAGTGAAGCGGCCAAGTCTAGCTCAATTCCCACAGCTGCTCGGGTCAAAGGTCATTCTTAAGACAATCTTCATCTTTCTTTACTCTCCAATGAGTATCAGCAAATCACGTATGATGAAGCGTCTCTTGTGCACATAAACAGTACAAAGTACACAAAATACTAAATGACCACAACTGCGGTTTTGCTAAAGTGAAAAGAAATTTAATTAAAAAAAATCATACCACTAGGAGATCCTTAGCACTAGTGAGAGACCTGTTTTAGAGATCCCGAAAACACTGAAATCCGCAAGACCTGTTCCCGCTTGTCCCACCTCCTGCCCGCTCCCCAGGCAGCAAGGGCCAGGCAGGAAGCCCGGAGGCATCTTTCTCCTTCTCTCTGTTGACAGACACAGGAACACTACGCTTTCTCCCGACCAGCAAGGACACTCCACCTTCAAAGGGAAAGCTGAGGTGGACAGCCTGGCCTCCCAGGCTAAGCTAAGCCGTCTTGAGTTCTGCCGTCCACCAAAGCAGGTCTGAACTGCCTCCTGGGAGTACGTCCGTTACCAACGGCAGACTCATCAAACCGCTACCACGAGCTCCCAGTTTCAGAGGTCGCCCAGATGAGTGGGCGTTTAAACACATAAACAAGGAGAAAATAAAGGAAACCTAAGAGTCAACCCAACAGGAACATTCAAAACTACACCTCAAACAGGTGACGTGCTGAGACACCATGGAAATTACGTGGGCATAACTGTCAATGATCCTTCATTAGTAAGGAAGAAATTATTTTTTAAAAATTATCAAGGCATCAAGGTAGCTGGTATAAATCGAACCAGACTTACTGCACAGAACAGTCACTGTAAGAAATGAGGGAATAATGACGACAGCGCTCACCCCCAGGGCCGGGAGCCTCTGCGTGCAGCTCACAGCCACTTTCAGCTTCCAGTCCGTCTCACCGTCGAGCTGATCAGTTCGAATAAAGCATGAGCCTTGGAACGAGAGAAGAAAAATTCCTGAGTTACAGGCACTCTGAAGTCGCAATTCACGGCACAGTGGGGTAGAGAAATGATAAACCCAGAGATTCCCGTGAACAAAAATCCTTAAAAGTCTTTATTTATTCAACTAACAACATGAGTTTGCTGAAACAATACAGGCCATTAACTGTTTCATCACTTATTTCCTATTTGGCGTTCCTGACTATGAAGGCTTAATGTTAATTAGTGTTTTATTTTAGAAAGACTACATTGATCGTTTCTACCTTTAATTCATGTTCTGATAATAAAGCAATAATAAGTAAATATTCAAAAATATCCAAGAATGAGTGATATAACTTTGCTGATAAAATATGTGACATAGCACTATAGCATATGTATTCAGTAACAAAAGCACAGCTAAAAAGCCAAAGCCCTGGTAAGAGCCACAGCCACACTCACAACTCTAACACATCTAAAACATGAAGTATTTAATTACAAAACCCACTCACCCTTCGCCCGTGTTGTATTCTCATAACCTATCCTACAATAGAACAGCACACCGGGCAGTATTACTAATCACAACCAAAGGGGCAGGAATACAGTGAGAGAGCCAGCTGAGCGCAAGGGAGCATGAGGCAGTGGGGAGGAACAGAAAGAAAGGAAAGGAAAAACAGAAAAACAAAGCAGAAGAAAAAAAGAAAAAGAAAAAGAAATGAGAAAGACCTGCATTTCCCCTGAGAAGTCTCTCCAGGATATATACTGTCGTGGGAACAGAGACACCAGCCACTGAAGAACAAGGAGGGGGAGTGTAAGTGTGTGTGCATGCGTGCACGCGTGTGCAGAGACACCACCCACAGAGGGAGGATGGGAATGGAGAAGGGACTGGATAGAAGCAGCACCCTTCTGAGTGCACCCTACTTCACACTGTTCACCCTGAAATCACACACAATTCACATAATTAAAAAGCCAAATTACCTCAAACTTTAAAAAAGGATCCCTTAAAAATAAAAGAAAGCATATAAAACACAGAATGAATTCAAGTGACTTGACTTCTCAAAAATTTAATGGTAAAATAAGGCAGTCACAGGAAGCCACACAAGCATATGTATGACACATCAGACAAAGGATGCTATCCAAAATACAAAAAGTCCTCTTAAAACACAGCAATGAGAAAACAGCCCAATTAAAAATGAGCCAAATCAGAACAGACAAAGAAGACACACCAATGGCAAAGGAGCACATGAGAAGTGGCTCCACAAAGGTGAATCACGGAGACACCACCACACACCTACAAGATCGGCC